CACATGCTCACGGGTTTCATGCCGGAGGACGAGGAGGTAGCGTCTGGGTCCAGTCGTATACAGTTGGTCCCCATTAGAGACCACCTGGTGCAGATCCACCATACTATCACCGATGAGTCGGCGGAGGTGGATGTACAACGATATACGAGGCTGCTGTTGCTCCTTCTATTTGGGGGGGTTTTGTTCCCGAACACTTTGGGGAACCTAGTGAGCCTCCGTTTTCTGCATCATATTGCCCGGTTCGAGGATACAGCTTTGTACAGCTGGGGTGGTGCTGTCATCTCATATCTGTACAGGCAGATGTGCCGGGCTTGCATCGGCACACATAGAGACGTTGGTGGCTTTCTGCCACTTCTACAGCTGACAACATATTCAAATAATATGTCCATTAGTTACAATTCTACCTAGTTATAGTTAATCTTATACTTTACGTCAACTTTGTATGTTAGGTTTGGGTCTGGGAGCGATTTCTGCAATTTTAGCCACCTCTACCACAGCTACCGGCTAATGTAGAAATTTTGCAACTCCCTCTAGCCTGTAGGTGGGTTATGCGTCGTACTCTTGCACGAGAGTATGATGCCCATCATAATCTCCCCTTCTGCGGGGATGTGTTGGATCTGCTGGAAGACGCACAGATGAATATCTAACTAAACTTACTTGTTATAGATTAACTTAGTGTTGTGCATACTAACGGTTTGTGTTCTTATTTGATAGTTCATCTGGATGTCGTACAACGATGAGGTGATAGGTACCATGCCAGCGTATTGCACGTTCGGCCGACATATTTGGAGGGATTCTGTCCCGCTCATATGCCTCGTTATTGTCGAGCACCATGCCTCTGAGCGGGTATTTCGTCAGTTTGGCCTGCCGCAACCTATACCGACTCCGCCTGCATGGCATGCTTTACATTATGAGAGGGATGATCGGTCCAAGGCGGACGACACATTTATGGCATGGCTTAACGAGCAGTTGGGTACTTGGGACAGGCGAGGGGACTTGACCCCACCTCCGTAGCACTTTCCTATTCAACGTTATATGGCATGGTACCATGCTGTTTCCCGACTTTTTATCGGGAACCTAGTTCATCAGGCATACGGTCGGTACGTCCCATATGCTGGGAGACACGAGGCCCTGGTATGTTTTCTGTTATTATTAGTTATATAGCTGTAATTTAGTGCCAAATATGTAGTTTATATTTTTTACTTTGTGCAGGCGATTGGATTGCATACCGCCTATCATATGGGGCAGCAGATGCAGAGTTATGTCCACGATCCTGTGGCCATACAGGAGTATAGTCGTCGATTCATGGATGTGGCTGCCAGACACTGCAGCGAGCCCGATCGGATCAGCGTTTGGCACACGAGGCTGATTATATGGATCCAACGCAGTACCATCGAGGTCGTGGTATCCCACGAGCTGGTGATGTCGGACGACGTGGTCGTGGGCGGAGAGGAGGTGGTCCCTAGCAAGGGGGAGTTGAGGCTCCTGCTGATGATGTTGCTGCTGATATGGTAGGTGGCATGCATGAGACGGACATGCCGTCTTACAGCCTTGGAATTTATCGCACTCCAATGCCATCGCAGGTGACACCATCGGGGCAATTATTGATCACGGGCTCGAATATTCAAGGAGTGGATTGGGGTAGATACTTCCCAAGCCCGTCTACCACTGTTGAGGATCGAC